GGCATGATTAATCTGAGAACAATATGTGGTGTGTTATGTCTCACAGTTGGCGAAAAGGCAACATTGCATGACTCTATAATCACCTGGTTTTGACACAGTGTCCATGGTAGCACACAAAAATATTCTGTAGTCTAAAACTATCATTAGAAGCACCGGTGACTTAACTCTAACCTAGGTTAGAGTTAATATATGACATTATAATATACAACATTAATATATATCTCACAAGCAGAAGGTACCCAAGAGGTACTGAGCTTCAGCGGCTCAGACTGCATTCATGGATCAGGTCAACCTCAACCCCAAACCATGCTCACTTAGTGCCTGTTTACCCAGGCCAATCATTACCCCATATGTGGCATACAGAAAAGGTGTTCAGTATCATAATCTTCAACCTCTGCAGTATCCATCCCCGGTCTCTGCTCAATCTTTTTTTAATGAAATGAAATGAAAGTGGCTCTGGGCAAATGCTAGTCTTGTTGGTTCGGAAATAAGGCCTTCATTTTAAATTACTTTTTTTCACTTCTCAAACGCTGAACTTCTTACTTTTAGTAGAATTTCGTCTGCAATGTGGTGATTTGAGTTTATTCTCAGATCTATGCTTCGCACACTGTACTTTTTTTTTTTTTTACCACAGGCTACCGGAAGTAGGATTTAAATGGTCATCCATCTCTACGAAAAAACTATATTTGAATCACTTATTCTTAACATTGAACCTTTTTCATTTTCAGATCTTTTATCCTCCTATACTTTATGACTGCATTTGATTTTGGACTTTATATCCATGTATGCTGTCCTAACAAGGCTATGGTAGCTTGTACACTCTCATCCTGTGGTCTCCAGAACTGCTGAATGTTTGCGCAGAAAACACGGCCCTACCACAGCTTCCTCGCTTTGCATTTGCCTGCTCTAACTCTGTGTCTTCTGCTGCTTCCAAGCTTGGGGTTGAAGAGCTCACCGCTTCCTTCAGCACATCCTTTTCATATATATCGGACTTGGCTTCACGGCTTAGAATTAGATGCCCTACTGTAGGTTTAAAGTCAGGCCTTGTAGAGTGATTCTGTTAGGAGCATCAGGAAATCTGAGTCAGATGGAGGAAGGATAAGCTCCAAGTATAATGGAGATTTTAAAACCTTGCTTTCTTAGATTTCTAGATGGATCTGCAAAGCTGGGATTTTTTTTTTACAGGTTCGGTTTAAAAAAGTTAACATAAACCAAAGTTTTTGTTTCATACGACAAATTCTATCCTAAGTCATAATCCTAAAAAAAATCCTGAAATATACATATTAAAAAAAGAATTTGGGGATTTCTTTCTTAATAAGGTTTAAAGTATTAAAGCAACTGCTTTAACCTATTGAGTTAATCCCTTTGTTTATCAGCTGGGTACTGAGGATTTTGAAGCTGTTTCCTTTTCCCATTTCTTAGACTTGGTTTCTCACATGACATTTTCCACTTTGGTAAAAGATTCTCTTCCATTTTGGTCTGCTAAAGAAACTTTTGACATGAAAGGCTGTGATGTTCTCACAAATGCAAGCTTAGCTCCTATGTGTGTTAAGCATGCAGTAGTCCAGCCAAGCCTAATTTGGAAGTGAATGTTCTGAGCAGTTATCGCCCTCTATCAAAACTTTTGGCTGAAGTTCTAGAAAAAGTCATTTTTAATCAACCATCCTTTCTAGACAAGTACAATATCTGTGAGTCCTTTCAATTAGGTTTCAGGGCCTTTCACAGTTCTAAGTCTGTTCTTTTCAAAGCAACAAAGGCTATTCTGCTTGATGCTGATTCTAGTGGTTGTTACATCTTAGTTCTGATTTGACACTGCTGATCACGATTTACTCATTAAGCGCCTGGAACACTATGTAGGAGTCAAGAGTTTGGCGCTTAACTGGTTTTAATCTTATATGGAACTCACGACTTTTGCAGTTAACTTTGGAAAGTCACTGCTTCAGAATCCGGGTCTATCTGTGGGCCTGTTCTTTATTTCCTTGTACATGCTCCTGCATCAAGATAACATCTTTTTTCATTGCCATGCAGATGATTTGCAACTGGATTTACCTTTGAATCTTATAAATCACGGTTGCATGTGAAGGCTCAATGCATCTTGGATAAAAAAAGTCCAAAACAGACGTCATATTGTTTGGCCCTCTATTATTAACCGAGAGGTTAAAAGATAACTGGGTATCTTTAGTTTTATTAAAACGCAGGTTAACAACCCTGGGATTATCATTGACACCAATTTGAAATTGAACAACCAAGTCAATGCTGTGGTCAAGAGCAGACTATAATCTTCTTTAGATCTGGAAAGGCTCATGCATGCACTTTTTTTTTTTCATTTAGTCTGTGTTACGGTCCTAGCAGGGCCTCCTCCTGAAATTGCCCATGTGGGTGTGTCCTACTATCTCCGCTGCTTTAGGTGCCATCTTCTTTTTGTACAGCTGACACCCATCAGCAATTAAAAGCACTTAAGGCCAGAGAAAGGTGAGCTCTAGTGCCAGAGAGCAATGTTAGTATTTGCAGAACGGTTGGGAATGTAACAGTCTGGGCCATTGTAATACACTTTATACTATTGTTAGTCAATTATCTCTAGCTTCTTAACAGAAGGAAACTTCAACTGATCGTTGAACTGTTGCTGAACGATAGTTTGTTGTGTTGTGAAATTTTCAGAAACACTTATTTTTTAAAATGATAAAGCACTTTGGTTTTAAATGTGCTATAAAAATTAATTTACTTACTTTCTTACAATAACATGATGTGTGTAAAATCTGCAGTTTAATATTAGGAAAAGATATAAATCTCTGGTAGGATTATGCTAGGAAGAGGATGTGAGTGTAAAAAAAATATATATTGCAAGTCTAAATAAAGATGTATCTGCTGTGGTGACCTGTTGTGAATCAGTGTGGGTCTTAAAAAACTAGCTAACAATGGAAATACATAAATAGTCACTTGTAGCACCTCAGTGAGTGACTGAACTTCTGATTAAAAACTTAACAATGTTTACAAGAAACTATGAGTTATTTACAATGCACACTGTATTATCAGCTCAGACTAAATTCTACTGTTGGATTGGCCAGGTCACTGGGCTATATGGGAGCTTTCCCTCATGACCGACAAGTTTGGTGGACAAAGCAGCGCGCTTTTTATTTGCAGTCTAAGCATCTGAAACTGTTTCATAAACTACATTTTTCAGACATGCTGTAGTTCTTTAGAGAGATATTTGGAGACTTGCAAAGTTAAGATAACAAACACTGGAAAAACTGGAAAGTTTGGCTGATTGCTTTGGGGTTTTTTGTGGCTTTGCAAACAAAAATGATGAGCATGCGTTACACTGGAGAGCAGGAAAATTAGATCCAAGCACAAGAGCTCACTTGAGCATTTGGAAAAACATTGAGGTGTGAACAGAAGACGTGATTACTTGTCCACTTTTGGCTGGCTCATCTGAAACCCATGCTAACGCCAGGCGAGAGCTGGCTTTGACTCCCTTTGTTGTTTATACTGAATTTCTTAGGACTTTACCCTGGAAACAATCTAACTATGAATCCTCTGAATCACCTGGGAAGGAAAAGGAAACTTTAATTTTTTTCATACCTTCTTTGGTGCCAGAAACAAATACATTCATTAGAAAAGACCAGAATAAGATCAATTAAAGTTCTTGTTGATGACCTTGAACATCAAGAGCATCTAAATTTGCAGGGGACATTTCTTGTCATATATTTATTCTTAAAATATTTCATGATATAAAATGTATGTAAATGACCGATACTCCTGCAGTGCTTCCTCTTTCCTTCTCTCCTCACCATATTCATCGCCATCGGAGAGAAGCTGGATTTGTGCAAAAAGAAAGAAAGAAAGAAAAAATAAACAAAAAGAAACACAGGCACAAAATAAATTAAGAGATCAGAACCCATAGAGAGGAAATGAGTCAGTATTCCACACCGTGTACAATACAATATCATAGCAAATTAGCAGATTTCAATGGCTTCCACTGACTACCATAGATTTACAATGTTCAGTTGGCTGCACATCAGTCCTTAATAAATTGTGTCACTTTCCTTTTTTTTTCATTAATGGTTCGGATAGACAGTGACTTGTAGATGACCATGAAAAGAAAGCGGCTACTGAGGTGTGAACAGAAAACCTGGGACTACGAGCCAGCAGTAATGAGAACAACAGCATTTGTTCACATCCTACTAAACTGCCATTGTGATCACATTTTAAGTCCAATAAGCTTCTCTACAAAGGTACAACATATAAAACTGTTAAATATATAACTTTTTAGGGCCTTTCAAAATACATTTAATGACTTTTCTTTACGCCTTCTTTTCAGACTTAACAGCATTTAATACTCTCTGTAGATAATTATCATTTCTCTGGTAATGATTTGCACTCCGTATCCATGATCAACACGACAATTCTTCCTGTAAGCTGTCCCAACTGTAGCTACTGAAAAATGCAAATCAGATTTTTTTTTTCTGTTTTTTTGTTGTTTTTTTTTTTGTTTTTTTGATACACAGTTATACGTATGTAGTACCTATATCTCCAGTTCCAAAATACAGTGGTGAGCTTAGTCTGCGAAAAAATGTCCGTAAAGTTTGAAAAGTACTCCTTTGATTGTGTTCGGCACATACGCCGCCGGCTGCAAAGGTTCGTTTGTGCACCGAGTCTCTGTGGGGGCAGTCGTTGGTCGGTGGCGACACTCAAAGCATGTTAACAACGTTTCCGTGTGTCTTTGCCAGATGGTCCTCTCTGTCATAATGATCATATTTGTTGTTTTGCTCTTTGGTCTATAAAAATATGGGAGGTTTACTCCAGCAGAAGGCCTATTCACAGCAGAGTGCGCTCGGTTCGGTTTTTACGGCCTCGCGAGCTGGTCTGAGAAGCGTCACATTGTGTTCTGTAATGACCCCGTCTTCACCCTGGAACTCCTGCACTAGAGTCTAGGAGAGAGATGTGGGAAATCCCGTATTAAAAGCAGTTAGCAGCTCCAAACAGTGGACTTCCAGTGAGGCAAAAAAAAAAAAACATTCATGGGATTTTAAGGTGTCCGAACCTCCGTGGCATGAGCATGTGCTGCTAAATTCACAGAGCAGGCAGATAACAGTGGAGAGGAGGTGGATACAACGTGTTGACCCAACGACAGATAGCAGGAGGGAGCAGTCAGAAACCCGCGGTGGCCAGTCACAGGAAACAGGAAGTGTTTTATAGTAAGTTTGTCCAGTGTCACAGGGAGAGATGACTCCCTCAAACAATCACTCCCTGGTTTTCCCGTCTCTGGCTGTGTTACGAGACCTGTGAATCAACAAGAACAAAGCAAACATGAGAGAACTGTTTTAGCACTCAGTCACAGTCATGCTCAGCTCCACAGAGAAATGTCTGAGGATGTGTTGTATCAAAAACATTTTGGCTCAAATATTTTCACTTCTATAGCCAGCAGAAAGAAAATGACAGAAAATATATTGTCTTTTTAAATACAATTCACATATGTGACGTTGGCTTTTTATTTGCAACAGGAATGTTCTTTTTCATTCAAATAAGCACCGTCATCTCATTTTAAAGTTTGCAATCTGCTTATTCACTTGTTTGCCAAGAGTTGCATGACAAGACTGATAATACTTGTGTATATAGAGTACTGTGCACAAGTCTTAAGTCAGATCTTAATTCTATATATTTTGCTAGGAAAACATGTGCAGACAAACATGGAAATACTGTATTCAAAACCAAAACTCTGCAATCTTAAAAGTCAATATTTGGTATCACCCTCTTTATTCTTCAACCTGAGTGCTCTTATGCAAGCTTCCTTGTCAATTCTTTAAATAGTTTTCAGGAATACTTCTCCAGGATTCTTGAAGGACATTCAAAGGTTTTCTCTGGATGTTGGCTGCCTTTTGTTCCTATGAAAATGATCCCAAACTACTTCAGGTCTGGGCTCTAGGGAGGCCAATTCATGACTGATGGCGTTCCATTGCATGTTGTTCTATCCAGGTATGGCTTCTTGCATGGTCTGTGTCTTTGTGATCGTATTCATGCTGAAAAGAGTCTGGTTCTTGTGGAATTTTCTTAAGTTGGAAAAACAAAAAACATTCCTTTGAAAATGGTCAGGTCCAAGGGCTGGGCTGAAAATGTCTTAAAAAGCAGCCAATATCCAAATAAAATCCTTCAGAAATGCTGGAGAACTATTGCTCGAGACCACTTTCAAAAATCACAAAAAAGTTTGTTTCTTTGGGAGCAAAATATGGAGAAATAAGGGCTCTAGCTTGGTTTACGATTAATTCAGCTTATCAAAAAGACTACACAGAATTAAATGATTAGCCTTGCAGTTTCCAAATATTAACGGTCACATACAAACATCTCAAAAGCTCATTAATTAATAAATATATAAAAATGACATTCTACCATTTGGAGCTATTTCATTATTATAGTGATCTTTAGGGACATTTGACATAATTGTTTTCTTTCTAAGATAAGCTAGCAAGGCTTACATTTGGTCCATTCGAAAAACAGAGCAGAGCAAACTGTTCCTTTCCTTCTCCGCCATAAGGTTAAAAATAAAACAACGCTAAGTGGCTACTCTTGAAGCACCCTTTAACAAAACCATACGAGAGAGGCATCTCACTGAAATTTCAGCAGCAAAGCTGATAGGGATCATTCTCAGTATGCCAGTCTATTCTCCTAAAGAAAAAAAATATTTTTTTGCAGCCATTGTGTTGACATAAGCATCACACATGACTATTGCTCCATGCCAGACTTAGATGTTAATTACAGGATTGTATGAGAGCTTTACGAGTCAAATATTTAGAACTCTTCAGGGGATATAACCCAGTAACAAAACAAGTCTCACAGTGCAGACACTGAAAAACAATTAATCTAGCAGCAGAAAGACAAATCTCGGAGCCTCCTCACCATCTGGCCCCCGCCAGTCACACAGCCAACTTGATAGAGGTGCTGATGCCTTCCAAGACATTGCCACTGAAGCTTAATTCATAATAATGAACTCTTGATGATTTCACAGGGTGCAAATTACCATGAAAGGGGCAGGTGTTGAACGGGGTTCTAGCATGTATCACAGATGACAATGTCTTATGCTCTGGGAATAATAAACATCTCAGTGAGCTCGGGCTTTAATGGAGATAATGTCGTGGTTTTGTTGGAGCTGGGCATGGAATGACCCAAAGGTTTACTTGGTTAAAGCAGGGCCATGACTTTGCTAACTGCTTGACTGTGATGCCTGGCCAAAACAGGTGTTTAATCCTAGCATAATAAGCACAGTTTCTCTCTGTGCCTCCTAGAGGGCACACAGAGACTACAGCTCAGTAGTAAAAAGCCACAGGTAAAATGGAAGGAGGATAAATTAGTCGCACAAAGATGTGGAAGAAAAGAAATACAATGCAAGTGATTTCAAGCAGACACAGCATATAGACACGGTCTTGTTTTATTCAAGCCACATAGTGTGTGTCTACCATGGTGGATTTTTGTTTTTTAATATCGTCTTTATGTTTTGTTTTGTTTTTTGCTCCCTCTTTTTCTTTCACAGCCACACTGTTGCGAACAGCTTCTCATAAATCTCCCGCGCAAATCTCGTCTCAGGGAAACGCAAGCCTTCCCATTTAAAAACAGCAGCGAATGTCAGACGAATATGAGATGAATCTGCCCCGTGAATAACATTCACAGGCCTTGGGTGATTATTACTTAGAGTTTATCAGGAAGCAGCTACGCAGACAGCGAGCAAATACTTTACACTCTGGTGCAGAGTAGAGGGAAACATTATGCAGCGGTTCTCTGGCTATTGAACATGCCAGGCAAACGTTTAGGACGGTGGCCTTGCTCTTCGAGTAAGAGCGAGAATTGGACTTTCGATTGAGACTGATAACTGCTGGGGGTGTCATAGTAACAGAAGGGAGCATCGTGCACTGAATCCATCTGTGTTAATGTGTAATTTGTGCAGCATTTCTCTTCTTATGGAGCAAGCGGACAAACCACTCGATACTTATCGATACGCGCCCGGCAGCTTTTGATCGAGGACGCGGAAAACATTTGATTTCAGGGACGGTACAGACTGCTTCCTGTCTCGAGGCCACAGCTGAAGCACCTTAATGCAACAAAAATGAGAAGGTGCATACATGTGGCAGTGGCTTTCGTTTGCGTCGTACTGCTCTAAATAAAAGCATTTTCGCAAGTTGGAAGTATTGAAAGCGAATGCACCTGGACATACGGCCCTGGCTTGACATTTCTTCTCTGTCTGAACTCTTGCTGACTTTCCTCGAAATGTCACGGCCATGTGACCCACGAGGGAACAAGTCGGTGGGTGCGCATGAAAGAAAATTGATCCACTTTGCCTATCCACACTCTTCATCGAGGCGCTGTTTGCTGGGAATAATGCAAAATCTCAAGAGGACCCAGCGGATTAATTGATGTGTTTTTGTACATTCGCCGGAAGCTTTGCTGAAGCCCTCCCGTTCAGCTCGTTCCACAGTGCATCTGCTTTTGGATCTCCTGCTCGTTTCTAACGCTCGTCTCTGCGCTCACCCTTTAACGTTAAGTCTTGTGCAGCTGAGCCCGCGCTCTCTCTTCAGATTTTAGCAGGCGAGCGGCACAACATGATTCCAGATGAATATTCATAAGTGAACTTGTTGGCTAGGAATGATCCACAGGTTAATAAGGGATGGGAAATCGCTCATTACATGCTGTGAAGTTGGATAATGCCTGAAGCAGATGCTGAGATCAAAATACATGAACATGTATGCATGCGCCTCCAGACACTAGGCCCCATTCCACATTAGGAAAGAGTTCAAAGCTATGTGTTATGTCATTATCAGCCCTTTCATACAGCATTTCTTCAGAACATCAAAGCAAACACAGTTCACTATCTGCATTCTACAATATGATCAGAACTTAATGCTCAAGAGTGGAGTATTAGAACAGATTTAACCATGGTGGCATCAGGCTGGTGACAATGTTGCCAACGTGTTCTTCAATACTTTTATGCATCGACTACAGCTGCTCGTAAAGGTACTGCGTTGCGTGGCTCTGTGTGAGATCAGCTGCTTGCAGGCAATGCAGAATCGCCTTCCTTCAGAATATATATTAAAGGATCAAATGTTTAAATCCAATCTCAGATGGCCTCTTCTGTGAGTAAATAGACAATAATCTCTTTGATGCACTGTGCAGAGACCCAAGTTCACCACACACATTCCACCCCTTTTCTATTTATAGCTCCAAATCTACTGAAGACTTGCTGTCTGGAGTGAAAAGCAACAGGATCACATTTTCCCTCAAAAGCAAATTATAGCATGGGCCATAAACACTGACAGTATTGACCAAAAGAAGAGCCTGTTTCTCAAAGACTCCACAAAAGTGGCCGTTTTTATGGCTTTGGCCTTATCCCTTTTTTATATTGCTGTACCTTAAATTTATTACATGGCCACTCTCTATTTCCCGATCACTATTTATTAATATCAGAGTCTGTCTGGCGCCTTGTTTTATTTAAGTGCACAGCCACCATCTGACACAAGACTTTAAAACAATATACAAGGCATGCCAATAAAGCAGGCTGAGAATACACTGAGGGGGGTTTGCTGCACACATGGATTTTCTCTGGTTAAACACACACCAGGGAAATTGTCAGCTTATGGTAAAATACATAAGCCAAACAAGGATATCAAACAAGCAGACGCTCGCTTAAATTGTATCAGGATTTATGAGAGTCTATGCTTCCTGCTGTTTGTGTGTTCTGCTAAAGCTGAAAGATGCGGTCTTAGTGTTGTAATGAGTTCATAATGTTGGTTGTAATGACTTTCATACACTTTTAAGACATTTGACCGTGAGCAACAGACAAGATCAGTCTCCTCTGTAAGGTCATGTGGAAAGTTACCTTCATTACAAGATGTTATAAAACAGAGCCCGACAGATATATCAGCAGGACTGACACATCGGCCGATATTTTTATTTGCCGATACGTTGGTATCGGCATTTGTAGCTGTTGATTGGGCAGTTATAATGTACAAATGATATATATATAAGCTTGTACACATTAGATCCTCACTTTGACTCTGGGATGAGACACATTCAGTATGGGGTTGGATTAAGAAGGCCATCTGATTTAAGAAATCTCCTCAATCGAATATGCACAGCTAATAATAGTTTCTATTTTTATTAAGGGCTCATAAATAACTGTACCAAATATATGACAAATGTGTGTATATATGTGTGTCTGTTTATATTTAATGATGTGAATGTGGAAAAAAAGATGAAAATATAAACGAGTATATCAGATCTTTATCTTTTTTCTAATCACCAAGACTCAGTATCGGTCTCAAAAATCCTATATCAGTCAGGCTCTAGTCATACATTTAAGGATTTCTTGATTCTAATTCAAGGGATTTGTCTTGTACCTTACTGCCTTCACAAGGCTCTTGGTGCTCTGTAGCTGCTTGTGTTGCTTCCTGCCTTTGAGGCCAAGGTAAGGGCGGAGCTGTTGTAATGGTGGTGGTGGTGGTAGCTGGAAATTGGCTGTCTGTCAAGGGGTCATCAATGCTTTCCATAGTGCAAGAGTGTCGAGGGGGACTCTTGTCACGTCATAGAGCCTGAGGGGAGAAAGGGACAGGGGAAGGCGGTATGGTTATAAAGCTCAGTTTCATTTCTATTTCTGTTTTTTTCTAGATTTAGACACAGTCACAGCACCGCCACCACCACTACCACCATTACCAAATTTATCTTTTTAAGGTGTCGCGGAAATGTGCCCGTTTGGATTTGTCTAAACATGGAGAGCTATTCTGTGAATGTGCTGGGCACTGATGCTGTGTTACTTGTGTTCCAGTTAAATATAGGAGTGTGGGAGTTGAATAGGGTCTGATTCTGCGTAACAGTAGCCCACATGGAAGGAAAATAGAAAACAGCCCTGTGTTTCTCCAGTGACTTCTTAAATATGCTATAAATGTAAAGCACTGATTCATTCATGATTCATTTTTCTGAAATAATTTGTAAATTGTTGTCCTTTACTTAAAATAATAAGCTGGATAGGGATTTATAAGTATCAGGCCTGCTGCAGCGTTTCCACCACTTTAGTCCAGATTAAAGTATCTCAGAAACTATAGCATACATTATTGTTTATTCTGGTGTAAATTCTTACAGTCCCAGAGTTAGGAGACTGGTGATTATGGTAAACAACTGTTTTATTCCTACAATGCAAGTTCGTTCCTTTTCCAAGGGCATCAAATATCTTTTTTAAAAATAAGCCTGTGGTATCTAATAGTTAGAAATTGCTTGCTCAAATACACATGGTTACAAAACGACCCCTGGGATCACATTTAAATGCAACATAACCAAGTAGATTTTGGAGTTTTAGTGTGTAAACCTTACACTGAGTAAAACAGCAGTGTTGGGTAAGTTACTTTAAATTAGTAACTTAGTTACATTACTAGTTACTTCTATCAAAAGTAACTCAGTTACTTCAAGTTACTCGTTACTTTCAGAGTAACTAGTTACTAGGGAAAGTAACTTTGGTTTTACTCAGAATTCTCTTGTTAATGTGTTGCTTCCATAACTTTGCCAGTCTTTTAGCTTGCTTACTTGCCACAAGTGCACTGTGCCACCTACCAATAGAAAGGAAAAAATAATGTGCACATTTCCACGAGAGAAATCCCACGCCTGATTCTATCCTAGCCTGCTTTTTACATCCAACACAAAAACTGCAGTCGTGGTGCTTTCGATTGTACTCAGAACTCGGAAATTCTGCCTTCTGAATAGGAAGATGTAGGTAACACCAGACTGCAGATGAGCTGCATACAGGGCTGGACTGGGACAAAAAAATCGTCCCGGGCATTTTGACTAGAGACCGGCCCACCATTATAGGAAAAATCATAAAGCCTTTGAATGAAAATAAACACTGTTGTGACAGTGATGTACACTGTTCTGATGGTATATATGTATCAATCTATCAATTGTTTGTTGCAAGACTCAGATAATTATTTTTTTAAAAGTGAGACATTTTAAATGAGAATAAGAAAGTATTTCCTTGTGCCCCCCTTTCCCTTTTAATGCCCTACATGGACCCCTGGCAACACTTTGCTAGACCCGCCCCTGCACAGTTACCAGCTGTCAGCTACTTAGAAAAGGATCCTGGTGTTATTTGTCTCTCAGAAACAGCCATAACTTCCCTTCAACTCATTCATGTCACCTAAAAGGTAAACCTGTTTCTCCATCACAGCTCTGATGATTCAGTAAGGACATCTCCTGGTTTCATCTTCATGTTTCCCTCTCACCACATATCCAAACCGACATCATGACCAGCAGCTTTACAGCTGTGGCTCCAGCAAACATCAGCTGATACTAGAAATTAATATTAAATAAATTCTAACAACAGCTGATCAAGCTTAAACGTGCTGCTGTTGTTTAGCGCGACATCCGCTGGTTTCCTCTTTCTGGCAAAGTGGGCGATAAACAAACAAGAGAGAAAAGCCGATCAGCTGATCATTGATCAGTTTCATGATTGAAGTAGAAACAGGAGAGGGAGGGTGGAGAGAATGAGAGGAGAAGAGGCAGCTGTGCAGCGAAAACACAGAATAACTCCAGCTTTGTGTCTTTTTCATTGTAGCTGAAGTCCGGGACAAACTGTTCCTTTTCACCTCAATACGAAACGCGTAATATTTTCTCTGAATACGAGACGATTCCGTTTTTTACGGGACGTTGGCAACTCTAATAATTAACCTTATGAACAAAATAAAGTTCAACATCAGTAACATAGCACCCACCCAGCTGTATAGAAACTCCGTCATGCTAGCTAGCACGCAGTACGAAAAAGTCAGCATAACGAAAATAAACTCCACCTAAACTTGGTTCTATATCTGACCCAGATGGACTGCAGGTTATAACTTCTTACCTGAAGTTCAGTTCACCTGACTACTCTCGGACCAGCGGCCGCTTCGGGTCTCTGCCCTTGCCTCCCTTTTCCTTCATCCACCTGCTGGCCTTCCACCACTTGCTAATGTTATGAATCTGTGGAAGTCCGCAATGCCACCACACGAAGTAACGAATAACGAGCCTATCTAAATCCCAGTAACGAGTAACGCGTTCCCGGTTTTGGCATAATAACTAGTTACCGTGCTCGTTACCACAATAATAACATAGTTACTGTAACGCGTTAGTCCCAACACTGTAAAACAGTGAGTGGAGACTGTGACACAGCCAAAATTGCTGCAACTTGGTGCCTTTGAAATTATTGCTTTGAAAATGGGGACCAGGTCTGTGACCGTCCAATGCCAGCTTTAAAGAAACAGTGCTATCAGTCAGGGAATGAATTAGGTCAAGTTGGTAGTTACATGCAATCTGTTTGTGATTAACTGTGACAAATTGGCAAAATTTTCAAATATATTGTTGTCTACATAAACAGAAATTCATAAAAACTACATTACATTCAGAGTCCAAAATACAACTGAGTGAGATGATTTTTCTTTTGTAAAGAGACGTGTTCAATTCCATTCAATACCATTTTATTTATATAACAGATGCCTTAATATGTTTTTTATTGTAAGGTGAAGACCCTACAATAATACAGAAAAAATCCCAACAATCAAACGACACTGATCCTCTCTGAGCAAACACTTGGCGAGAGTGGAAAGGAAAAACTCCCTTTTACCACGAAGAAACGTCCATCAGAACCAGGCTCAGGGAGGGGCAGCCATCTATCAGGGGTGTGGGGAGGAAGACATGATAAAACACTAATTGCAAGATTGTGCATTTCTTTGAGTTGCCAGGGACTCTGACATGACATACGTTAACAATGGATGTACTGCTTGGCCCTGATAACCTAAATCTGCATCATTTCTAATGGGCAGCAGGGGGCCACGTTTCAATTTTTCTTGTACTGTTGGCAAAAAGACTACCGGCTTACTGGATCTGCAACCTCATTAAACATTTCTCTGATAAATTCATGGAATTAGTTGCAAATTTTTTTGAAAATAACACCATTTCAGCTTGTCATGTCCAGTTTCAAGATACCGAGATTGTGACAGCTCACCTTGAAGATTCCACAATTAACAGAATTTAATTAACCAGCAGGTATATTATAGCACCCTTAGTTAAGAAGATATTGGCAGTTCAAGCAGGTTAAAGCTTTCACAGGTAATATCTCACTGAGAGGACTGATGAAGCTTACACTGCGTTCAGTAATCTCCAGTAACAACTGCTTATCTTGACAGTTTAAAAAAGAACAAAATTCTCCCATAGCCTTATTTGGTAAATGCTTTGCCTCAAAGCTGAAAACATGAATAAGTTTCTCTTTCACTGTTTGAAAAGGAGAAACATGCTTTTCTGAGATCAGAGTTAATACACTATACTTGACTTGGGTGTGAGTGTGCCCATGTTTTGTCCTTGCATGAGTGCGTTTGTTGTTTCCTTCATTTCGGAATACACCTGCACCTCTTGGGACTTGAAACTGTTTGGAGTGCAAACATAAGCCAGCTATCACGCTGCGCTTCATGGAATCAGTTTCCACTTTTGGCCACATGGAAATGTTGGAAACTATAGAAAAGGGAGCAGGGTTGAAATTCAGAATGAAATAAAACAGGTAATCTTTCACTGGGCAGCAGAGGCTTTGGGTTTAGGCAACAGTGGGTCAGATCAATCCCACAAGCTCACAGGGAGTTGATAAGAACAGAGAAAGAGAGACTTTCTTGTTCTTTAAGTCAGTTCCTCTTGCCTCTCACTGTTTATAGTCCCAACATTATTCCCAGCTTCCCAAAATGGAGGATTTAGTATTCTCCAAGCCAATGCAATGTGCTGACTTGGCTCCCTCCAGAAGGAAGTTGGCAGACAGAGCTAATGGTTAGCAGCAACAGAGTTTCTTTCTCTTTCTCTCTTTCTTTTGGCCTGTCTGTGGTGGCCAAGCAGCTGTCTTCTTAGTGGTGATTCTGTTCAACTCACTGTTGGATGTGGCTGGAGGGCCCAGAGGGATCAATTACCACGGTCGATACCAACCCAGAACCACAGGGGGGTGGGGTGAGGGGGGACATGGTGATGGTGGAGGCGTTGGGGGATACCTTAAGGCCCGGCTTGAACTGCATCCACAGAAAGATTGAGAAGAAGGAGATGGAAAAGAAGTGATGGCGGGGGCAAAGCACCAGTCGAAAAAGCTTTTTCATACTCAGCTGAACACACTTGCCGTCACTGGCAGAAATACAAATGTGTAAATACAGAGGACGCTTACAGGCAGACACAGACTGGGAGATCATCTAGTGCAAACCCACCCATTTGTAGCCGGAGATATTTATGGCAGGATGTCCTAAACCACGTATGCATTTGAATTTCCCACGCAGAACCCTGACGAAGTTCAAAAAATATGCACACGCAAGAGCTCATATTATCAAATATTGTGATATTCTCTCTTTCCTTGAAGAGGCTGAAGTAACTGCTCTTCCCAACTGTGTTTTGTCTCCTCTCCTCTCCCCAGTGAAAAAGTCTTGATTACAGTAATCACAGTCTTTCTCTCAGTAGGTGCCACTTGTGCTCATAGCTCTCTGCTCAACGCCTAAATACCCCAATCAGGATCGTCCTAATGAAACATATGATTAAGACTTAGTTAGACAAC